TCATTTTGGGAATGTACACGCGGTAGAAAAATTACGCCAATCTATTGAGATATGGTATGCTACAAGTGAATATTTGCGACAAGAAATGAATCCTAATTTTAGGATGACTGACCCGCTTAACCCAGTCCATATAATGTCTTTTTCAGGAGCTAGAGGAAATGCATCTCAAGTATGGCTCATTAGGATAGATGTAGTTAAATAATACCATTTAGAAATGTCAAAAAGTTTTCTCCTGGTACAGCTTAGGATAAAAATGATTAAAAGTTATGTTTATGTATGAAATTATAATGTATGTAATTAGAACATAAAAAAGATCCATAAACCTGGCAATCAATTAGACATTTAAACTTTTTTTTTAAAAAAAAAAATACATTCGTACTCTTATAACTCATGTTAAATAACTTTCAAAATGCGCTTCTAGAGGACCTTAAACAAGAAATGCCAAAAATGCCAAGTCTGGACATCGCAAAACCAAAAGAGATTGCTATTACTCAAGATGTATGTTTGGATAACAAAGTTGGAAAGAGTGCAATCAAGGAGATAACTCACGAGCAAAGTGATTTGACCCATAGAAGTGAGAATCTAGAAGAGAGGGTTGATACTGGGTCAACTATGGCAATGACAGACAGAAAGTTGTTTTATTATACATAAATGACTCCAAACAAAAATCGTAGGGCAACTAATTCCCTTATTAAATAAAATAGAATAAAGTTGTGGCACTAAACAAGCTCATGCCATCAAAAATAAAAAAGAAATGAGTAGTGACTATCTTTTTTCATGCCTTTTCAACTTCAACTCTTAAAGCTACTAGAAAATCCCCTACTATTGAATATGAGTAACTCTATAACAGAAAGAAATGGGACTAAAGCTTTTAGCTTTCTTCTTTCACTTTAATACATAGGTGGGAATACTTTATGAGTGAAAATCGTAATCTCAATGTAAGACTTTTTCAAGTTATTTCACTCTTACATCTTAAAATTCTTATTGAAAGTAAAAATGCATACCCAAGCATGCACTACCCAGGCCGTTCGTGCTCGCTTTGTCTCTACCCCCTGCAATGACAATAACATCGACCTTGCCCGTAAGTTCTCCCTACACTAAATCAATGATAATATCAACCTTTCTAGAGAGCTCCCCACTGACTGCATCGATTATAGAAAAGCTCGCTCATCCATAATGTGTATATATTCAATTCCAAAGGTCGAAGGAGTAAAGTATTGACATTGTGGGTAAAGTAGTGATTTTCTAACTTTATTATTTGTATTTAGTAAAGTATGTTTATAAAACATCCATTAAATTATGTTATATTTAGAAAACATCAATTAGATAACCTATTCAATATATACAACATTAGATAATGCCAATATATATAATATTTATAAAACATCAATATAACACATCCCATTAGATAACATGTTCATTATATACACAACATTAATGTAAATTGTTAACCTATACATTAATCTACTAAACAAATATTGCAAATAATCAATCAATGTGTATTATTTCTTGAGTGGCCATATCAAAATTTGTACTAAACAATAATTTGAAATCTTTTATATGAGGTGTACATGAAATTTCCCATCCTCAACCATAATTATAATAAATCTTACACCAATTGCATGCAATTAGAGATATTGGTGAGAATGACTTCATTAACATCTACTAAAAAAATGATAAATATAATTTCATTATCAATAATATATATGGTAAGTATCAACAATAATTCTCAGTATTTGCACAAAATGATAATCATTAACAAATTTAATCATAATATCTTATGCTCTAATGGTACATGTGGTACTGATTTAATATGGTGATATGTCAAGAACTATATTAAACTGATATGGATTAGCACGGCATTATATCGTAAGATAATCAAATTACTCATATCAAATAAGGTCATCTACTTATAATATAAGGCATAAGTATTGAAACATGATAAAGTTGCTAACAATTCCTTAACACACTCCAAGAATTCATACAAAGTTACATATTCGCTATAAAACTAATTAAGCTCATCAAAGCATTTAATCTCAATCAAAATAACCCATCAATAGAATGAAAATCATAATGTCCATCTACCTTAACATCAATGATACTTTGTATATACGGATGTAATTCTACTAGTAAACCATCTAAATATCATGTTATTCTTTTATCATTGAGACGCTGAATAGGAAGTTTAATGATTTGTGTTTCACTTTCGCTGAGTTTGTAGTGGTTGGTGGTGATACACTATCTTGAATAGTTAATACAATCTCTCAATGTGATAGGTCATGCCGTGTATATGTATATGCTTTTATAGCTTCGTGACCTTTTGTCTTAACAATCTCTAATGGTGGAATTAAAGCAATTGTTAATGAATCACCAAGTTCTCACAATTTTTTTTTCATGGCTAAATTACCGGCCTCATCACATTTCTTGAAACGTTTTACGATTTGGTCAACCTCGGACACAATTGTTAACTCTTTAGAAACATCATTAACTTGGCTCTTTATCAAGTCCAACTTCTTCCATTAAGAATGCACTTCAAATAAAAAAATTAAACTTTTCAACCTTATATGCTCTATAATTTTATGAGCACAAGGTAATCTATATGTGTTTTTGATATGCAACCATAAGCATTCTTGTCAATCCTAACATGATTAGATCACTTGGCCTCCATCAATATCATATTGAGTGCACTCATAAATACCTAACCTCACAACTCTTTAAACAATGAAGGCTTGTAATTATGCTTAACAATCTTAAAACTTCTTTCAAATGAAGCTTCGATCTTTGTATATTAGAGCTCAATAAGGGTGTTAATTATCTTCATGATGATTCAAATCACTTTAAAATGATCCAAAGTACCTTTTTAATTTCATATTTGCACTATCGACCTTAAATGAATTAATAAAGATATATTAATATTTTGTTATGGAACCCTAAACCATAAATAATATAAAAAATGCAACATAAATTATACTTATTTGTGTAACATTATCAAAGTGCATTACTTTATCCGTCTAAGCAGCAATAAATCTATATATCCTTATATTTTGCCAACTATTGTTCTTTCACATACTTGATTGCACTTGAATAAGTCTAGTAATCAATTTTCAGTGAACTTAGATACCTTTCATATTCATCATTGGTAAAAAAAATAAGGACACTCTAACTTAACATGAATACCTCATATTTCTTTTTTTTCTTAAAAAGCTTCTTACAATTTGCAAATACATTTTTTGAGATATGTTATCTACACAGAAGATTTACTGTATTGAAAAACACAACCTCTATTGTATTCATCAATTCTTATTATCTATCAGTAACAATAATAGTAGAAAATATACCAAAAGCTATCAAATTTTTTAACTTATCTAATGCCTAATTGTAGTTCTTAGAATGCTCGACTTCATAGATACAAATGAAACAAAAACTGTCATCTTAGTGAAAGTCATACCAATAATTTCAAACAATGAAAGACAATGTCGATTTGTTTTATAGGAGCAATTTATAATCAAGACAATTAAAAAAGCTTGCAACAAATCTATACTAGTAGAATGAGTCCTGAACAAGTCTCTCATACGGTCATTTGACACATTAGTCTTATGAAACTCTAAGTAATTACAATCGGTCAACTTCTTTATAAGTTGTTGCATTTATGATCTATCAATTTTTTCAACATATATGCATCTTTAACGTTCATTGTATAGTGTCTTTATAGTATTAACATTCTTCTTATCATGTTATTTTATGGTCAATAATAAGTTCCTGGGTCTAATCATATTGTTAGACATATAAGCCATTATTCTCTTTTCTATTTCAAATAATCAACCTATAAATGAATGTCCATCTAATTGTTTTACTACTTGATTATTGTGAAACCTAAAGACTACTTTCATGCTCCACTGATCATCCATTACCAACTAAATCCCATGTAATTCAAATAGGCAACCACATTGTTTCATTCTTGTTTCCTTATGTTGCATTATTTCGATCTTACCCTTTATACTTTTGCTACCTATATTTTTTATTTCGTTCACATGCCATTCTTATTCTAAGTTTTCTTGGGTCTCCCTATTCAAAGTTTTTAATCACAATTATAAAATCATTATCTTTTCCAACCTACCTAACCTATGAAATCAAAACTTCTCTACTACAAAACACTTGCACAACATATTTAACTCATTATGTTTATATAAACTAACATTTTATGCCTTCCATAACACACTACCTCAAAAGCATAATCTTACCTCTTCTGTTGTAAATGAATTCATGCAATCATATATGGTATTTAAATTTTTTAGTAATTGATTTTACTTTATGAATGTAGTTTTCAAATTGATCTACATGTTACAAGATGTTAAAAAATTATAATAATATCATTAGGAAGTGGAAGTAATAATACCATTACTAGATATGCATACGAGGACAATTTTTTATGTTTACTGAGATGGATATCCAAAATGAATATTGCTTCATCATATATGCATTTTTGAAAATCATATTGGGTTACTAAAATGCAATATGATTTTCAGATATACATATTCGGAATGCTTATTGCATTACTGAAAATATATTTTTAGTAATGCAATATGATTTTTGAAAATGTATATCTGAAAATCATATCGTATTATCGAATATACATATCTGGTAACAAAATATTGATTTCAGATATGTATATTTGATAACGCAATATTCATTCTGAATATCCATTTCTATAAATATTAAATTTTCAATTCAAAATGAGTTTTAAATGAATTATTTTGTTAAACTGCTCATTATCTCCTCCAATTTTGTTTTTCATTTAGCTATCTTTTTTTGTAAAATTTAATAAATGTTTCAAATTTTGGTAATTTGTTTTAAAGATTTAGAATTTTTTATCTTAGGAAAAAAAGAAAAAAGAAGAAGAAGAAAAAAAGAAACGAAATGCAAATGAGTGTAAATTTACTAAATGATATATAGAATCCTTTGGCCCTTTCAGTTAATTGAATACCCAAAAAATGCTTCAATAGTGACGTCTGTATCACAAATTTATATCCTCCCAGAAATACTCCTGCCACCGCCACCTATTACATCGAAGTAAAAAAACAACCACCGAATGTTCCACCAAATTACAAATCTACCCCAACACAGTCACTCTTCCGCTGAGAATCAGAAACAGAAATTCGAGTTTCAAAATTCCAAAAATTCATCTACTTTTGACACATGAACTAAGAACCTCGTTCAGCTTTTAGAGTCATTGGATTTTCTTGATATCCAAAGAAAATAAAACAAAAGACTTTATTTTCAATTTTTCCCTTTCAGAACAAACAGAAAAATTACAGCATTTTACAACAGCTTTGCACATAAATGATTGCTGCCGAAACCTCAAACTTTCCTTTGTCTCACTTTTCTTTCAACATGATTTTCTAAGCTACCAAACAGAAAAAAAAATTATAAAATATATAGGGCAAAAAATAAACATTTCTTCCATTTCTGTTAAGTCCTCTTTACACTTGAGGACTACACACAAAAAACCCTAAATTTCTTCACTTTTCCTTTAATATTCTATATTTACACCCAAAAAAAAAACAAAAAGAACAAAAAACCTCGTTTGTTCCTGTTTCTCTTCCTAGAAATCGAAAAAACAGTCATCGGAGAAAGAACGAAGCAGATCCTGGACGTCACGTGACCCAACCCCTAGTCTCAAAGCTTCCATAACCCGTTCAAAAACCAGCACGTGGCACGGAATATGAAGCACCCCTTTTTGCTCATAGCCATACTCCTGAGCCGACCTATTAAGCAAACCAACGAAAACGGGGTGGTTCAGCAACTCCGCGTTCACCACAAACCGCTCCATCTCTTCACCAACGTAAACCGGCACGTGACCATCTGGGACCGACCGGGATGCCGGCTTTTTCAACGAGGAGATCGCGGCGCGGAAAGATTCAGTTCGACGCCTGGCGGTACGATGGCGCGTGGAGGTGTCGGAGCGGAGGAGGCTGTACTGGGAGGAGGTGTCGGCGACACGGGAGAAACGGCGGATGAGTTGCTTCATTTGGTGCTTTACGAAAAGAAAAGAAATCTTGGAATGTCTTGTTTTTTATTTGATTTGTTCGTTGAAGAGAAGTAAAAGGAGGGGAAAAGGGGGAAGATAGCTGGGATTAGGAAGGTTGGGAAAATGAGGGGAATGTGTACATATATTTATATAAAGAGAGGAAAGAGGAAATTACAAAGCAAGGTGATGATAGCAGCGAGGCAAGGGTACAGGTCGGAGTACTTGGCAGGTACAATTCCTCACATTTTTTTATTACCTTCTTTTTTTTAAAAAAATTTTATTTTGTTTTTACAGAACAGCCAGCGCAAATCGAACTATTCTTTTGCCTTTTTTATTAATTTTGTTTTGCTACTTTTTTTTTTTGTGTGGTGATGAGCCGGTTGAACTCGAAGGCTTGGCTCCATTGGGATTGGATTTTGTAAATTATGTTTTAGTTATAACTCGTTTATTAAGAATATTATATTTTGCAAATTATTTTTGTATATTATATTTTTAATTTTAATAATATTTATAAATTAATTAGACATGTCGAGTTTTAAATTAGAATTTATTGTAATTTTAATATCATTCAAAAATTATATTAAAATAATTAATATTAACAAATCACTTGTTTTAGTATAATGTATTAATGATTTATGATGCAACATATATATATATATATATATTATCATGACTTTCCTATGTGCTCTCTCTATGATTTTTCAATAATAATTTTATATATTCAATCAATACCCATTGTTGGGGGGATAGAGTAAGATGCGTCATTATAATAAAATAATCTTTAGTATACAAAGTTAATTTATTCAACAATAATTAGACAAAAAAATAGTGGTTACTATCACAAATACACTGAATTGAGTTGAAACTAGATGCTTCAAGATGCCAATTAAACTTTCTAAAATCAGCTTAATTAGCAACTGTAATTTGGTTAGTTTAATTGATAAGGTTATCTAATTTAATTCCAACTATTTATAAACTCGGCCATTATCAATGATCAATAAGGTTGTCAGTCCAACTTATCTTCGGTAGGTTCCTACTCGATCCGATTTTATAAAATTATTTTTTTTTTAAATCAGATTTCGAGTTATGTCAGATAATATTAAGAAAAAATCGGGGTTGGGTCGGATTCAGGTTTTAAGCAAATTAGACTCGACTCGATCCGATATTATATAAAAATTATTTTTTTAATTCTTTATTTATATATATTTATATAATTATATATTTATATTTTAAAAAATATTATTTTATATTTAAAAAATAATATTTTATTAATTTTGAATTGAGACGGATCAAATACGATTTATTTAATATCAAGTCGAATCGGATTTGAGTATGAAACAAATTTAAAAAGTTTTCGGATTGGTTCAGATTTTATAAAAATAAAATCGAGTTAGGTTTGGGATGAGCAAAAATCCGTTTTAATCCGATCCGTTACCAACCTTAAATTGATCAATCTTGATATAGTTTTTAATATTTTTGTCATAACTTGATAGTTATAACATTTTTTGGCAATATATTTGAATAAATTTGACAAGTAATATATTTATATTATATTTATTTCATATTGAGTACGAATAAAATATAAAAATTATTATATTATAATTTATATAAATACATTAAACATAAAAAAATTTGTATTAAATTTATATATAAATTTTATTAAAATTTTAAATATTTCACATTTATATTATTTTTTATCATTTCATATATAATATTATCGTATATAGTTAGGAATATTCTTTGTTTGAATCTCTTTTAAATTTTATTTTAAAAAAAAGAATATTTACATTATTTGTATGTTTACAAATAACATTGATATGTGTGTGATCATTCCACTGTACTTTGACTTGTTTGAGATTGGATCAGTAGAAAATTAGTCAATTTTGATTATTTGAAGGGTCGAGACTGAAACTTTCAATTCGACTTGACTTACTTTATGCCTTGATATACAAAAAGCAGCTCCAAACAAAAATCTGCGTTCACAAGAGTTTTTCCAGATGAGAAATAGATTTAATTGTTTTTCTTTATCAATCAAGATTTGATTTTTATAAAACATATTAAAAAAAAAAAAACTTTGAATACATTAAATTAATATAAAAACATTTAAATCCACAATTTTTTACTATGATAATAGTAAATGTTTAATTTGACAAGTAATGCCACTATTTTAACTGTTATTTCTTGTTACAAATTCAATGCACCATGTTCATTGGCATTTAGATCTTTATCAAAGGAAGTCAAGGTAAATTGTAGGGCAGCACAATCACCGGAAGAATGCTCCCTTTTCCGTAGTCCGTTGCAGTCCAGTTTATTAATTATAATTTAAAATTCGTACCAACGTTTTACACTACTTGAATGATTGCAAAACTGCAGTAAAATAAAATTTAGGTAAAATGTATGTTAATTTTGTGTCCCGTTTTGGTAGTTTTAAATAGATTTAAAGATTCATGTATATTTATAATATAAAATATTAAAATTCAAATATTTATATATTTTTTATATTAAAATTAATATGTCACAATTAATATATATATATTTAATTTTATTAAATTTATTATTAAAATTTTAAATCGTATTATTTTTTTATTTAATTTTTATATCATATTTTTGTCATATTATTATATTATATTTTAAATTATTAAATCTAATTTTAAAAAATTTAAAGTGAAAGAAATTTTTTTAATTTAAAATTTAGATAGGTGATAGATTTTTAAAAAATTACATTAAATTTATAAAATATTTAAACATAAGTAAAAATATTTAAGATTTATCTACTCAACCAACTCGTATTAACGTGGCCCGTTTTATCTCTTGCCACGTGTTACTTTTTTTTCATCATTTTTACTTGCGTGATAAACACTGTCTAATGAAATTTGCTTATTAAATGCACGTGTAATCCACGTACATATATTTCAGAATGGGGATGATGCTGCGGTTTATATAAAGAAGGACAATGAAAAAGAAGAATATTTTTGGAATCTTAAGCAACTAGGTTATCTACACCACGGCCCTCACATTTGCTTTGATCTTTCTTTTTTTACTATTGTTAATTTCGTGTGATTTGTGTAATCCACAAATCTTATTTTTTACTAGATTTTTTTAAAAATATTTTAAAATTTCGTTCAATTACATATAACATACAATGAGAGATGTTTTTATTTTACCAAAAGATATCATAATTTAAAAATAAAAAATAAAATTATACCTAAGATATATTAAATAATATAAATTAATTGAATTAAATTTTGAATTTAATAAAGCATAATTTTTTTCGATACTATAATTTTTATTTTTTATTTTTTTTTTCATTTTCATAAGTCCATCTTAAAATTTTCATACCATAGTGTTTAGTTTGAACGGTTGAGTATTTGGTCCAAAAATTTTTCTCAACTTAGAAAATAAATTTGAATGAGCTATAGCTTTTTAATCTTCATTTTATAATTATTATGAAAAACTATAATCAAACAGGAAAATCTTCACTTTTTATCTTCTTTTAAAAGGTGATGATAAAAGTCGGTGAGATAATGTTGGATTGCAAAAGTGAAATAAAAGTGACATTTATGGATTTTTGAACACTTTATCTTATGTCAAATCTAGAATTTTCCTTATAAATGTGAAAACTAGTTGGCAAATTAAGATTTGTTAAAGTTTTAGAGGATATTTTAATTTAGGTGGTCCAAAAGATTAATTCGGACCTTAATTGAGCCAACATTATGATCATGGTTTAGAAAATATGACCAAGACCAAGACCAAAAAGAAAATGTACCGTGTCTATCAAGTCCGTAAGAAAAAGGGGATAAAAAAAAAAAAAAAACATTTACTTTTACATCTTAAATATTACTGGTTGAAATGGGGAAGAGAGTAGGCCAAGAAGATATTTCATTTAACATGACATTTTAATAAAAAAAAATTTATTTTATTTAACAACTATTAAATTTTAATCCCCAAGAGTAAATTTATAAGATTGTCACATATATATTATGCTATAATTAAGAAAATTAATAAATTAAAATATGCTAATTAAAAGGACGGGTGATATATAATTTTATAATATGCTTGTAGTTTTTAAAAATTCATAAACGCGGTTATATAAAAAAATTTCATACAATAAACCTTACTTTTAAAACTCATACCTTTGCTTTTACATGTTTAGTTATCAATTGCACTAAAATTACAATTTTCTAAAAGGTTTTTTTGGGGTCAAACAACGTTATTTGATGAGATCGCAGGGGAACGAAAACAATGTGAACACTTTAGTTATGCTATTATCAACCAATTCAAAGTTGAATAATTTTACTAATGAATTATTAGTTTAGTGGTTGATGTGGACACATATATAAGAAAAGTGTTTTTAATATTTTTTAAGATTTGAAAATAAAAAGATTTGAAAAATTTTTTTTGAACATTTCTAAAATTTTTCTTTAAGTATTTTTTTCATCAATAAAATTAATAAATATATAAATACTTTTTTTAATATATTATAAATAGATATTTCTGAAAAAAATTTAGATCCACCACTATTTAATGATATCGAAATCAGCTCAATTAAAGATTAAAAATCTTGAATTCAACCCTCAATTATAAACAAGAAGACCAAAAATAATAATAATAAAAATTGAATAATTTTGATATTCAAACAGCTTAATAAGGATATTTATGTTGTTGATCATTACCCTCTACTTTGTTGGCCAACAAAGGCACTGATCGGTTACTTGATTGCCATTTTCACCACGCTACGGCAAAGCGTAAAGCAACAAAAAACTGAGGTACAACACTCCAACGTCATCCCTTATTTTTTTTTTTTTAATAAATTTCACCATACAAAATATTTGACTATATGGTTTTAAATTATCACCAACTCATTTATGTTCTAAAATACAAGTACTATTAAGGACGATTGTTTGTGTCACACTCTCTTTGTCACATTTTTTGTCTATTGTTTCTATCTTCAAACACATTTAATACTCCTATTTTAATGTATTATATGTTTTTTTTCCTTCTATTTTTGGCCTATAAATAAAAAAAAAATCAATTTCTCAAATCACAAAAATAAGAAATTTAAAATTTTAATGTAAAATACATTGAAATCATTGTTTCTTTCTTAATCTCTACTCCATGTCAAACTTTCACAAAAATACGAGATGGAATAATTAATAACATAATTTCAATTTTTTTTATGTAATATGCAAAATCTTAATGATGAAAATAGTGAATGTTTTGTGTGTGTGTGCACACAAATATAATTGAAGTCAGAAATTATTATGTACATACCTATTGCTTATGGCATGATAAATGCCTCATAAGTCATCGGTGCATAGATGAAATAGTTAAGGTTTTTATGTAATTTGATAGTACAT